AAAAAAAAAAAAATCAATCAAAACTCAAATTTAACTCAACTTTAATCCAACATCACTATCCTCAATATTATTAATATAAATAAATAATATCAACCAATCATTCTTACATATCAAATCAATTTTAATTCACTATTCATCTACTCACATAATTTTAATTAACCATCACTTCCAATCATTTTTCTCTTACTTTACATCAAGCCAACTTGTTGATAACCGACTTGATTTCCTAGGGCTGATTAAAGGATCGATCATTTTATCTTACTAATGGTCCTTCAATATCATTTTTTGGCGACCAACTTAGTTCAACTCGGTACAATAAACTATAAACCGACCTTGGACAACTGAAGGAATAATCGACCAATCACCAAACTTCAAAACCGACTTTACAATCAAGACAAAGAAACCGACCTCGTAGACATCTACATTAAAGTTTATCCATTCAAAACCGAGATCCGAGGAGATCAAAATCCAAAGCAAGAGGCGTTGTACACTTCTAATTGGACCATCAAGTCAAAGAATAATCATTGATGTTCCCTCATTGCATAACACACCGCTTTATTGAAGCTGCTCGACATTAAATGCGATATGCTCAACATTAAATGCGATATGATCTACCTCGGACAAAAAGACAAATTCACAGTACTATAAATAGCGGAATTTATGACTTTACGGAGATCTTTTTTCCGCACATTGTACACGGACTATAAAATATCTCGGTTACTTACAAAAACCGACTTCCTGTACTCTTGTGAAGCGACCAATAATACTCAAATTTACGTTAATCTTCCTTTACATACACATTGCTTTTAATTAATTGAGTTGTTAAATTTCGTACAACAACACAACTTTAATTATTTTTATTTTATATATATTTTAATATTCTCATTAACAGCTAACCATATCACATTTTTTAAAATTAATTATGGTTAACAAAAACACCAATCAATCCATATCCAGTCACACTCTCAATGATTTTCATTATACACGTGGGAGCGAGGCGATTTACATTTCATAATGAACTATATTGATATATTAAAAGTTGAAAAATAAATTTCAAAATATGAATATTTTAAAAGTCATGGTGAAAAAGATTGCATGATAATTTTTGTTGACAAATTTTCATTATCTAAGTTAGTCTTGCTTATTCAATATATTATTATTATTATTATTATTATTATTATTATTATTATTATTATTATTATTATTATTATATGCACAGTAAAACTAAATTGAAATCTTTTACAAGAATAATTGCATGTGATAACTTACATATTGTTTTCTGATCTTTTTTTAAGAAGACCATTCTTTGTCATTATTTTTACTGTCCAATTAAAACAGTTATAATTTAATTTATATATGTTAGCAAAGTTTTTAAATATTATTCATATTATCTTCCATTTTTCAGTGACATAGTTTTCATATGCATTTTTCAATTGATATAATTAATTATAGTTATTATCATGAGTTATGAATATATATTAAAATTCAAGTTTTGGTCGAATTTTAAATTTTCTTCCCTTTCAAATATTATTTTATTTTTCGAAAATCATTACAAACATATGGTGCATGCACAATCTCATTTAGATGTCAATAATCTTAAAAAATAATTTTTAAAAATTAAAAATATTTTTTTGGAAAATTATATTTTTATTTTTACTTAAGAAATTTAAATTGAAAGTTTCATATCACATATAATGAGTGATAGTATTGGTCATCATGTCGCATTTAATGCTAAAAAAATTCGATTGAACATCTTGTGTAAAATATTAACAAATTAATGCGTAGTTAACCACATAAGATGTATAGCCGTAAGCTCATAATTACAAAACCTTAAAATTCACTGAAGGTCGTGATGTAGATGAACCATAATATTATAAACTTGGTCAAAAATTAAATATATATGCATATATATACACATATGAACTTGGTCAAAATTTTCGTCTAACATTTGTTACTAATGTTTTTTTTTTTCATTCAAGTTGTATTTATATATCAAATTGTATCTTAGGTTAGATGTAATTTCAGTTAATTGATAGATTGTCATAAAAGTTATTGATTAAATACTTATTAAGTTGATATAGTTGTTGTGTACAAATTGTTATTTTTACCGAGTACCGAATCGAAGGATTCATTCCCCGAGTCGATCTCACAAGGAAGGCGGTTCGGAATTTAGCTTCGGTATTGATTTCACACAAAAAGAAAATAAAATCCTAAACACTCTAATCAAATAAGGGGGTGGAATAATTATTAACTAAGGAATAGAATAAACAATAATCTACCTAAAAATATAAACGAAACAACGATAAAGAAGTTAGGGAGTCGGGGATAATTAATTCAAGTTCTATTTGCACACCAGGACATTAATCATTCTATTCTAGATTGACGCTGTCGCTTAAGCATCTAGCGGTTCGCTCCCAATAACTCTTCGTAACAAGGGATTGAACATAGACGAACAAACTTGAGCATACGACACAGGCCAATTATCCCAATCCCAATAACTATTTGTAACAAGGGACGAGTCATCGACAAGCACGTGTTTCAATCCAAAACCTATAGACTATTCAATTACGAAATCATCTACCTCATGCGAGCCTAAGTCTACGACTTCTCCCCTTTCGGTTCTAAAAGTCGCTAATTAAATTAAAAGAGAGTTAATCGACTAATCATATAGATTCAACAAAACCCTAACTCGACTAATCAACATTCAATTGTTTCCAATTGCAAGATCGAAGTGTCACTCTTCGATTATATCAATCAATCAAACAAGATTTCATCAAGCCCGACAAATACACGTTAAACGAGAACAATCATCCCCTATCCCTAGCAATAAGAATTAGCTAAGTAATATCAATTCAACACAATCCATCATCTCTCTCAATTCAACCATTATTCATGAATTAAAAATAAAGAGAAGAACTTACAATAAATCGCAATTCCAAGTGTTGAATCTGAATTACAAGCTTAATTCCTAAGTACTATGAAGAAGAAGAAAAATGGAAAACAAAGGTGAAGAGAAGAAGAAAAATGATGGAGAAGATGAAAGGGAAGAAGAAAGGAGCTGTGAGTTTTTCCCGACCTAGGGTTTCACTCCTGGAAGGGAGCGTGTCCCTTTTCTGCGAAGTCCCGTGCGATATATATATGAGAACACGGGTCACGGCGCGGAGGAGTAGTGACGCGGCGCGAGGAGAACTCGAGCCACGGCGTGAAGGAGCTGCGTAGCGTGGAGGAGGACTGGGCCGCGGCGCGGCAGTGTGGCGCGGCGTGGAGCGCGCTGGGGAGCGTGGTCTCTGTCCAGGCGTGAAGGGTCTCGCGGCGCGGGGCTTGCAGGTGCCACGGTGCGGCAGTGTGGCGCGGCATGGGAGGCGAAATAGCACCTTCTGAAGGCCCGTGGCGGGTGTAGCGGCGCGAGGGCCTGGCGCGGCGGGTCGGACAGCTTGTTCGACTTAATTTCTCGGGCCCGTTCGGGTTCGTCTGGACTCGGAATTCAATTCCGTTTTTTTTCTGCTTGTCACAAATGAAGCCCTCTACAAATTAGGCTTGCCCAAAAATATTTTTCTCCTTAAAATCACAGTCGACGAAGCACCTGACCTACACACCACAAACGAACACAAAAGCGGAGAAAACCGAGAAGCGACCGAAAAAATACATAAAGACACCAAATAAAGGAAAACAAACAATAATATACAAAACGAACTAAAAACGAATGAAAAGATCTAAAACCGGGGAAAAAGAAATGAAAAATAAGTAAGAAAAACGCAACAAAAATGGGACAAACAATAGTAGCTGACATAAATTCTTGTTTGAGACAGAATAGCCATTAGACGTGATGTAACATGGCATCACAGCTCGGTAAAATACACAATGGTACCGGGCCGGGAAGACAAGCTCGGTGGGTATTCGCAGGTGTTTGAGAAGCCTAGTGGAGTAAGCTTGGCGAAGTGAATCGCGAGGTTGGAATTAAGCTCGGCGTATATCTGGGGTGCCGGAGTCTGGATGTAGCCGAGCTGATGCAAGATTGATGGCACGAAGAGATTGATGGGCTTGAAAAGGTTGGTGTGTGTTGGGATACCGCCTACGCGACGAAGTCGTGGGAGAACTAGGCCGGTGGCCGAATCGGGATTAGTCGAGCTGTTAAATAGGGGGGATGGCTTACGTAACATAGCACTTCTGTATAGATCACAGAGTCTTCCCCTGGTCTTAAGAAGCTGGGACTAGTTGGGACTCTGAGACTCTAGATAAGACATATACTGTTGAGAGATGGACTGAGAGAAGTCTCTGCTAGCAATAGAAGTCTTTTTAGGGTAACCCCCCTCGTCTATAAAAGGGGAACATGTTCTTTTCTTTAAACAATATACAAATACACAAAAATACGCATTATCTTGATACTTTGCTATTTCTCTCTCGGATATCCCACTGACTTGAGCATCGGAGTGCCCACACCGGGATCCCATCTGGTGTGTTTTGCAGGTGATGGACGATCAACGGGACCAAAGCCGGTTTGAGAAGTGCAATCCAGCGGTTCGAGATTTTTTGGCGTATCAAGACAGATTGATCCGTCATACTTTTTTTAATAAAAATATATACGTATGCAATAAAATATCATACTTTTGTTTATGTTGTTTAATAAAGTATGACAATTCAATTTGAGTGTAGCATACTTATTGGAAATGTATGACTGTTTAATAGTTAGGTCTGACTAACATCAACTTTATATTGTATTTTATTATAAATATAAAAATATATTAGAAATGGAAACACATGTTAGGGTATCTATAGCAGTTCCGTTAACTCATTTTAACATTGATACACAACCTTTATTAGTTTCGCGCACAAACAACATTTTTTCGTTAAAAGTCTATTTATTTTTATATATAATAAATTTTTTTGTTATATATAATTTTTCTATTATTTAATATT